TGTATAAAATTCCAGATTTTCAAGGTCGATAAACTTTCCGGGAAAATATCGTATGTTTTATCACCAAGAGATCTTTCCATAACTTGGAGCGATCAACGTCATTACTGGTCTTGGAGCCATCGATCAGATTCAAGGTCATTTTTCAAATATTCTTATAAGTATATATATAATTAGTGTGAAACAAGTAATTATTATAATGTTTGATGTTTGGATTAATAGATTTTCGGAAGGAGTGGAACTTATAATGACGGATTGGTTAGAAATCAAAGGAAAAATCCAAACCGGAGATTTATCACCGAACACAAACTACGGAGCTTATCTGATTATGAAAGTGACGTCACGAGCATATGGACTAGAGCTAGTTCCTGCAGAGACTTGGATAAAAGTAGGAAATGGTGAAAAGAAGATAAAAACAAGTTATTTAAGTTGCTTGGATAACAAGAAACTACAATTGGGACGGTTGTTTTACGGACAGAGAGAAGAGAGGATGTCGAAGGAGGAGGTTGTCGGAAGCCGTCGTAGAGAGCCGGAGGCGAGAGACGACGGGTGGATGGAGATAGAGCTCGGAGAATTCGAGACCGGACTAGAAGGTAACAAGGAGGTTGTGATGAGTCTAACCGAAGTTAAAGGCTATCAGTTGAAAGGTGGGGTTGCAATTGATGGTATTGAAGTGAGGCCTAAACCTTAAGATGAGTGCCAATTGCCAAATTTTTGGGGTTTAAGCTGATCATTGTGTTTAGTTTGGGTCAAAAAGTGATAAATGAGAAAATATATGGGTGGTTCGGTAAGAAAATAAATGATCGATTGGGTCCGTTTACAGTAAAATTGTGGACTAATATGAGTGCCAAATTTTGGGTGAAGCTGACAATTGTGTTTAGTTTGGGTGAAAAATGTAAGGGGAACACGACTTATACATTATTATACATACATTTAGACCACAAAATTGTCAAAATTTTGGAATACAGTCTCTTTGTCATGTATTGGACAAAAGAATCAGATATTTGTTCAAACATCTTTGTCAATTTATTTTTAAAATGACACAAACTATATAAAATCCATAATAAACAATGAGTTAGCATTCTTTATGTGTAATCAATCAATCGAATATTAAACCATGGGTGTGTATGAATCACCATAAGATGTACAACTGCAAAAACATTTTCCTATTTATCGAATAGAAAAATAATGGAAATTAGTAGATTATTAAAGGGATTGTGTTTCCGTGTTTTACTTAAAAGGGAAATGATGAAAAATATGTTCGTAAAATGTCGTCATTTGCAATTGGCATAACATGAGAATGAGCACATTGTTACATCCATCACACACGCAATATCGCGAATGTTTGGTGTCACCTAATCTCATGCAAGTGGCGGCGTATTTTGGTTGATATCGTGCAAGCACGTTTGTGTTACTATTCCTTAATTATATGCCATACTTCTGGTAATTTTCTTCAATAACTTTGATATATATCATTCATTATTCTACTAGGTTTTTAAATTTCGATGAGGACATAGTAACAAACACTAATTAATACTACAAACTACTACGTGACAAATGATGTAATCGAAGTTGTTTATGATGGTAGGATAATTTACTCATGCTTATTTCAGACCAAAATTGCTAATTTTTTTAATCATGTATAATTGATTTTCTTATGGTAAGGATACTAGGATCATATGGGTAAAGGCGTAAAGCCATGATGATTATACAGAATTAGCAAAATAGTGAATCTGAAACCGTAACCTTAGTTATGTTTGATGCTCCCTCATAAGAATAAGGGAATAAACATCAAATATTTGAAAACAGATAAAATCAAAGCTAAGGTTGATCCGGATAAAAAGCTCCATAAGTTTAGATAGAGAACATAAAAAGGAGATCATAATAATAATATCTCTCCCTAACAGTGATTCACATTGACATTTTGACATCCTCCTCAATCTAGCCGTTCCATCTGCAGACATTTCAAACAAACAAAGCAATACAGATTTTAGGAACGTGTGTTTTGTTTTGCAACCAAAATCGATTACAATCAAATACTCTTATTGTGACCCGATGAGACCACTTTGCATTTCAAAAGAGTAGAGAAGTGAGCATACCTTCCAGAGACCGTCGTTGAGGTAATGCATGTTGTCCACTCCGATTCCTTTGTTAATGCTCTTTCTGTGAACAAACACAAGAAAACCTTTAACTTTCTGAGCAAAGAGAGACAAATTGGGCCAAATTTATCTTGGTGCAGGTATATGTGTATAGAAGGGAAGTTAATAAATTAACAAAACTTGGGCATGTATAATGGAGCCTAGGGTCTGTACTTAGGCTTAAATACGAAAATGTATAAAAGCACATGTTTGTGTTTTCTAATTTATTCTAATTAAAGACACATGAAGAAAAAAAATAATAATAACTTACATGTCCTTGGCTGACATTTTGGTGAAGCCTATTGCTAAAGCATGTTGCTTTCCTTCTGCATATATGGCCTAAACAAATACAGAGTCATGGTTTAAATATCAACAGAAACTAACAAAATAGCATCCCAAGGAAAGAGTAATTTTGTTCATACCACTGGCCTTTCCGCGTCAACTTCTTCATCCAGAACGCCTCCAGGGGAGGTGAGACCAGGACACATTATGTTTGCACCAGAGAGAACAAACTTAATGGCACCTCTATCAACTTGAAACCTCTTCATTATATTTGGGTCTGCAAAATTCCAAAAATTCAAGTGCCAAATTGATAAAAATCCAAGTTTCTTTCTATTTCGTAAGTGTCGGACATACTATTCAGCTATGACCAGTATTTGAACCAGGCAAGTTCTACTGCAGACCACAGTATAACTAACAGGTGCTATATTATTTGTTCGAATAAACACCCAAATATGGTATGCTGTAATAATGAGACCCTATAGTGTGAAGGAAGAGTGAGGTTACATTGATGAAGAAGGCGCAGTGTTGGCATGTATGGTCCGTCACGGATACAGAAGAAGAGGGGGACATTGTTGACAACAACAAGGGTCAGATGGTTTGGGCTGCATAAGAAATACGGTCAGGACTACTATAAGTGGTAAAGAAAATTCAGAAAACATAGCACTGATATACGAACCACTTCACTACGATTAGAGGAGACTTTTTGGGAAGTAGATCCTCCAACACTGTTTCAAGCCCTGGGTACTGCAACATTTACATAAACCTTTTTATATCTAACAAACTACACGAAATCATAAAAAAAAATTTAAAAGGGATAAAATGACAAATGGAACAACAAGCATACCTCATCTTGAATACTCTGGCGTATCCTACGTTGAACAGATGCCTTTACTTGGTTTTGTGATGAAATCTCCTCCAAACAAAACCTAAAGTTAACAAATAGTGAGCAACTGAGCATAAATATAACACCTTCACAGACATACTGTTATAGCAAACTAAAGGCCTGTCCAAGTGTAGAAGGCTTTTATATGAAAAGAAGACCGCTTAAACTTGATTGCAGTAGAGAAATAGACTTTATTCAAAGACTAAAAAGGAAGGTGTAAGCATGCTTCGGGAGAAGGATAAACACAAACTCCGTGAAAAGGCTGGTCCAAATAAAGACCCACACTTTCTACTATGTTCCAAGTTACTTTGTAAAGATTTGGTAAATCAAAGTGCAACACCAACACTATCAAAACAGATCACACAATCTCATTGAATCTCATACTAGAACCATCTACAAAAACCACATCCTAACAGCTTCAAGATGTCTAGCAGAACTAATTACATTACATATCGTCCTCATGAAAATAACAATTGACTGATACATAACTGTAGAAAGAAGAAACTAGAAATAGAGAGAGATTCTTTACTTCTTGAACATGTTCGAGGAAAGGTATTATCTTTGGAAAGTTTACGAGAAGGGTCGAACCGGATAATCTCAACTCTAACTATACTCTGTTTCCTGCAAGTGAGCATAGCAAGTTATTGTCATTACCAATCAACCCAAAATCCAAATAACACGCACATTGTGTAATCACCGGAAACCAGCTTAACCGCGACCTCACAACGGATTTGAGCAAACTGAGCTTAAAATCAGAAATAACATCAACGTAATCGGAACTAAATTTGATAACTCAAACCCAAAATTGGACAAGATATAACACAAATCCAATAGGAAAATACAACTTTCAACAAGTCTTCAAATCGCAAAACGGAAAAACATAAAACAACAAAACGGAGCAGAACAGGAACTTACGGAGTGAGTGAGATCGACGACGGGGTCACGTGAGATGGGTAACGGAAAATTTGTCTGAAACGGAAGCACTGATCGGCGAGATAAACGGCGATTTGAGAGGTAACGGAGCCGAGAGAGAGAGAGAATGTTTCTCTCGAGAAAAAATCCTGTAAAGTGTTTTGATCTAGTGTCCCTTTTTGTACCAAAACGACAGTGTTTCACAAAACCTAGGAGTTCGATTGGACCAAACCGGAATTGGTTATGGTTTGATTCGATTAACCCGAGATACCCAATTTATGATTCGATCCATCTTTAGAACTTCAATCGAACGGTTGATAAAGTTAGATGCATGATACCACTTTACACGCGGGTGCACAGGATTAAATCTATTACGTTTAAAACTTCGCTTCCGAGGAAAACGAATGGTATACTTGTCTTCTTTCCAGAACAATCTAACG